GCTATCTCAACAAATAAACACTGTCATGTTAACAAAAACATCTGTACTAATGACAGAAAACCATTAAGTGTTAAAGCCACAGTTACCATTGCCTTGGTTAGAAAGAAAAAAGTTTACAATTCACAATTCTATTTTGAACAGACAGGGAAGAAAAGGAAGCACCTGCATTTGAATATAGAAGTAAAATTCACACAGAGTTTTACTGTTATTTTCTTTCTTTTTATGTGGGTACATACAGAAAAAGATTTTAAGCCTCCCCCAAGCCCCACTATCGTGTGTTTTATAGAAACCAGATCTTTTATCTGGATTTCAGCGAATGCTAGGGCAAGGTACACTTGGAATAATCGCCTCCTGCTGTCTGTTCCCCACCTCTGCTGTACGCATTACGTGCTCCACAAGGAACCCCCTGCCCTTGCATCTCAGCCAGCAGCCTAACAGCTTAGCTTATGCTCAAGCCCGATGATAAAGATGGCTTTGTAACAGTGCACCCAACCACCAAGCTGCCAGCATCTGCTGGAAGAACCTGAGAAACACAAAACAGTGCCAACGAATACAGATCTACTGCTCTGCTACTACAGCGCTTCACTACAGCTTTGCTTCCCAGAACAGCTCAAACTAAATCTGTAAAAGCTGGCAAAGAATTAGTCCGAGATACGCCACAACTGGCAGAGCAGCAGAAGCCAGCCAGTGCACAGAATTTAAGCAAAATAGAAAGCAAGCTATCTGGATTTGTTCGATACAGTTATTTGATGAATTCAGCTATGGTTTGACAATCGTTGACAAAGATTTCACAAAGGGCTAAAAAAAAATAATAATAAAAGGGGTGCAGAAAGAAACCTTGTTTGTGTTTTCTCCATGTCTATTGTGCAACTGTTCTTGGTTGGGGATGGCTGTGACAGACAAAAAATTCCCTTGCTGGCTGCAGCAGCATGAAGGAGAAGCGGTTCAAGTCCAGAAGAAAGTCGCTGAAGAGCAGCAAATAGAACAGAGCAAGAAGGCAGGGAGCAGACTCCTGCATCCTAGGGGACTCCCTGCTTAGAATCTGCAAATTTATGTTCAGATCTGAGCAGCCCTTTATCATTTGAGGACTAAAGCACACATCTCCATCTCCCTCTGCTGTCTGGAACACAGAAAACAACTGACTACTTTACCGTCAGCACGAAACATTCAGGAACAGTCTAGAGTTTCCAACCCTGTTTATGGCTTAAGAGAGTAAATACAGACTTACAAGGCAAACTATTTAAGTGTTACATCGTAAGTCTCAACACTACATGCTGAAAATGTTTAAGTTAGAAGTAACATTTGGGTTTGGGATCCCCCGGCTTTTCACTGCTTGTGTAACACAAGAACAAGATAATTCAAAGATGATATGAGATCCTTAATAGATTTATTATCTTCTCTACCTAGCCTCATTTAACCCTATTTTGGAGATTCTATTCACTCCACATTTAAGAATTAAAAAAAGTAACCTGCTGCAGTCTCAAATAGCTTCATTTGTTATACCTCACCTTCCGTCTCAGAGGGGTTTATCTACTCTCCTCACAGTATAAGGCACCAGTTTCAAAAAAAAAAAAAGTACATGAGCATACAAAACTTCTCAATCCTTGACAGTCCCGAGACTACAAGCTCTTAAAATCCAAGCTAAATCTGGGCTTTGGTTGCCATGAGGACATAGAATTCACACATTAGAAACAACCACCATCACTGCTGTACAAGGTTTCAGCTGCATCACAACACAGATGCATTTTCACTTCCAACCAAGGCACTGAATGCTTCAAAGGAACTGTGTTCCTTGTGCTGGAGAAAGTGAATACAGTAATCAGTGTAACAGCTAATAATAGTAATAGATGAGAAACAGATTATAGACAGAAAGTGCTAATATAGCAGCATGTATTCCTCAAAACGAACTGAGGGTACACCAGGACCCTCCCTGGTGCTGGTGGCAGGATTCATTTCTTTTAGTTTGATACTGAATTGATGGAGACAACCAGAGCTCCAGTGCATTCAACCAGAAATGTAAGTTTCTACCCCAGCACAGTCAGTCATTTATTTTGGGATGCAGATTGATTCATCCCTACTAGTTCTCTCCCCACCCATTTGCTAGAACCAGACCTCAATGAGGTCAGAAGGGAAGTCCACGGTGGTTTCTCTCCTAACTTTACAGTTTACAGTGTGATCTACCATTCTACACACACCTTAAGACAGGAAAGATAATACCAGAGTGGGCAGCTGTCGGACTAATACAGCTCAGGATTGCTGCGCACAACTTGAGCCCACATGTGCAAAGGCTTTTTGGGGTGGGGGGTGTTAATTGAAAAAAAAAAATCACCTTCAGACATCAGAACTTAAGATTTTCCTCTTTTTCAGTAGCAATGAACACCAGCCCGCTTAGCTCAATCTACATGCCGCTTTCAACCTATTCCCATCTATTTCATAATGCACAGAGCTAAATGGAAAAATCATCTTAATGTACAAATACTTAAAGGCTTACGAACCAAAGCCAAGGCACAGCTTGCAAGTAATTCACTACTTAACGTTATAGCACGGTATTTATGGAAGGCACATTCGTCCCACATTGTTTTCTTAACAAAATTAGCATATAGCACTATCTGCTGCAACTTTGAGTAAGAGCTCACTAAAAACTACGTGATGTTGGCAACATTGGTAAAAACATAAGGAGAACGGCCCCAAAGCAAGAAGGAACAGCAGCGTGCTGCTCAGCAGAAGACTGAAGTACAGACTTGTTTGGTTTGCACATTAGTCTTCGCACCAGCACGTGTGTTTTTACAGGAAACTTATCTACAGCTTCCATAGCTGTTACTGATTCATGTACCAGGGGACACACACCAGTTCCTTACAGATGTTATTTCCTCTGAACAATCAAACAGGCTATAAAACTTCAAAGTGAAACGATATGCTACTAATTGATCGATTCCAATGGAGCTTTCAACGTCTTTTTAGTTGCTCCAGCGTTTCTGCTGTGCCAACATTCTACACTAGAGGTCTTCACTTCAGTTGTGTACAACAGTCACACTTATAAAATTTATTTTGTAACACTCAAAAATACTCCCACCACTTTAGTATTAACTCGTTCATGAAATAATCGTTAACTTTGACTTAATACCATTAATAAGCTCCTAGTTCTACCCCGAAATACCACAGAGCAGTTTACTCTAACAACTGCATAGCGGTGTAATTTGTATATTGCTCTTCTCATCTTTAAACTGAGCCTAGCTATTTCAAAGCTGAAGCAAGTCTGAATTACTTAGGAGTAAGACACACCTGACATTAGATTCTACACAGGTACCCAAAGCGATTCCACTTATTTACAAGAAAACACATCACGTCTATTTTGGGAAAGAAGCAATTGTAATGGAAAACTTCATATTACATTACCTGCTTCTGAGGGAATGAAAAAGCCTCCTTCCCAACTGTATTAAGGGCAACATGATGCTGGCCTTCCAAAATAAGCTGCTTGCTGTCTTCCACAACATATGCCTACAGAATATAACGCAAAGACATTAGCAGACCAGAAGTTATCAGAAGCTTCACAATACAGAATTACTGACTTTCCCCCTAACCTAAGTGGAAGATGCTGTACTGTTCAAAACCTAAAGGCTGTCGTGTCCAGGTTTTTTTTTAATGTGTATTTTTAATTTTGCAAGCACAGACAGCAGCTGAAGTTTAGACTGCCAATTTCCACTACTTCATATTTGCATTCTGGTAAATGAGATCCTCAAGTCAGATTGGGTCACTCTTGTTAACGCTCACTTTTATCACAGAACTGTCAATCTCTTGGTTCAAGACTTCAGAATTTTCTCTTTTAAGAGGAGAACTTGTAAGAACTAGATGCATCCAGAGTAATGTAAAGCCACTTCAGCATACTTATTACAGTAACAGCTATTAAGACTGTCTTTTTAGCTCATTTTCCTGTTTCCAGAAATGAATTTTGTATGAGGACACTTGGAAGGCCAGGATGCCATATTAGAATTACTTTCTAAGAGTCACATTTCACAGCCAAATTACCACAAAGGCCACAACCACACCTACCTTCCACAGCACAACAACGTTCAAATCAACTTCGCTGCACCTTTGTATCAATCTGACTGTCTCATCCAAGGATTGTTTCGCAGCCCTTTGGGATGTGTGAGTATGAGATTGCACGTGCGTTCTTTTAAACTCAGAGGACAAGCTTTGAAAAAAAAAGTCTGCACAAGGACTGGCTGAACTTATTATCTGCAATAAAAAAAAGGCAAGAAAGAGTGCTCTGAGAACAGGATGCAAGCTGACACGAGTTACTCTGACAGGGCTCATCACGCGAGTATTTCAGTTCCACGACCTCGCTTTGCAAACCTACAGGATGCCACACCACTTGGTTTCCACACTTGCCCTGTCAGAGATCAGCCCTTCCTAACGAGCCATCTAAGGGAACACGGGGGAACAGAGCTATAGATTATTGACCTAAAACTACAAATACCAAACCTGGAAGTAAGGGCTTTGATGACTACCACCAGACAGCCTGCTGGGATCTATCAGGTGGAGTGGAGAGAGCTGAAGTGTCCAGCTAGCACAGATTCACTCACACCAAGCCCTTGTTGCCTGTTAACGTTTCCTTCAGGTTGGTCAGTTATTTATCAGACAGGAACACGCATTTTGCTAGCCACGGCAAGTAGATTGCACAGCACATTCCCCACGCAGGAGAGGCACAGCCAGAAGCACTGTGCTGTTTATCGAGTTTGTCATCATTTGTGCTGAGCTTTTGCAACATCAAAAGCTTGATAAGGGGACAGCGGTTTTAAGACCGACAGCAATGACGCTTGGAGACAGCAGGGTGAGGAGGAAACTTGAGCTTCCTAACCCCTCCCTCAAAAACATTAGCCTTTCCAGAATATGCTGTCACAGAGCAGACAATCTGCTTTTGGAGTAACTGTCTCGAAGGGAGGACTGCCTCCCCATCCCCGCACCAGACAGCACTTTTGTACAAGAAAGCTGAAGTTCACGCAGCTCATCCAACTTCAAATGTGCAAAGAGGGATCCTCTACCTCAGATTTGTAGTCCTAACTTCAATTTATATGGCTCTAAAATGAAAACGGCAGCGAGTAGGTTTTCTTTGGCTTTTAAAAGCTGGATGCATATATGGAAAATGTACACGCAGCATAAAAGGAGCAATCTGACATCCAGATAACTAAATCCACTCTGCTAGGGTACATTTCTGATCTGATGCAAGTGGCCTACTTTCCTCAGGTTCTGGAAAAGCAATCACTGCACCAAGATCATTTGTTAAAAGGGTTTTTCTTCAGACAATGCCTGTATGCTTAAAAAGATTAAGAAAGCATAGTCGTCTAGAATCTTAAAGAAGAATCAAAGAAACAGACTCCTTGAACTGACCAACATACATTAGCAGTTTTGAAATTCTGATACCTACATCTATTAGAGGTTTCCAGATTATTTTTAGAATAAGCTACAATTAGAATTTTTAACTTATCTTCGTAAAATATAATCAAGAAAAAACAAACAATAAAACCAGAATCTGTTACCCACAGAGCTCTGCTAGAAAACTAGAGGGCTGAGAAATACCCAAAGGAACAGCTCTGAAGAGTTGGAAAGGAAGGAAAAACATTAACAAAAAAGTTAGCACTGCAATATCCTCCCAAAGTAGTTCAGCTGTGGAGTTGGGAACTGAAAACTCCTGACTACCCACTAGCCTAGGCTACCTGACCTGCTCTTTTTAAAAAAAAAAAAACAAAGAGAGCTGACCCAGAAGACCAGTCATTTTTGACGTGCAAAACAACTTCCCAACTAGGAAAGCACTGTTCCCATTTTTAAAATTTAAGAGGCTTTCATGAGGATACCTGCACAGGACAGGGATACCTTGCACAAGACAATATGCAGTTGTACCAGTTCACCTACCTGTTCATTTCCAAAGACAATGTCTGCAAATGTGTAATTTTCTAAGGGATAAAAAGAGAAGGCATTGTTTCAGCATCACGAGAAGTCACAGCTGCAGCACACAGCACCCAAACAGTATTTTCTTCAAAGTTACCACACTCAGGAGAGAACCTACCTTCTGAGTTTTTGCACCTTACTGCTTTAAAGCATAACTTCGCTCTCTCTCTGCTAGCAAGTTTAGTATCTGAAAGAGAAAGATTGCAAGACTTTTTCCCACCTCAACATAACCGGAGCCCCTCCTCATTAGCCAAAAATCAGCCTTTAAAATTCACAAGTAAGAAACACACAGATGATACTCAAGAAGCAGGACTAATCAAGCAAAGCAAGTGCATGGTAGTAAAGGAGATGCATCTTTTGCTGACCCCTTCCATCTACTCAAGCAGGAAGTGAGCCACCACACAAAGGAGATACAGAGAGAGAAAGAAGGAACAGAAGACGAAAGTTTCAGTTTATCTGACTGGTTCACCCTCAATATTAATGCCAGAGGAATACATGCCTAGACTAACTTAAGTACATAAAATGTCAGCATTCAAGTAAAGCTAGCATCTGTTATTTATCTAACAGCACTTTTTTTTTTTCCCCTGGGATCCTTAGCTTTTTCAAAAATTAGCAGGTTGTATTAGCCAAGGCAGGATACAGCACTAGCAATTCTGGTCTAGTTCTAACAACCGACTAGAGCACTTGTCAAACACTCTGTTGATCAGTTAAATTTAACACTGATATAAATAACTAAAAGTAAAGGAACACTGAAACATTTATCGGGAGGCAAGTTACCAGCCAACCCAGACACGGGTTTCTCTACATCACAGAAATAATTTACCTCCAAGTTAAGCCCATTTTTAAAACTAATGAAGTCTGAAAGTTATCTGACAACGCACTTTTCTTGAAACTCTAACAAAAGAAGGGCTGTAGTATGTTTGAAAGAGACATAAAAAGTTTTTAGAAATTAATTATTCTGAAAGCCAAATTCAACTCTCTAAGATTCTTTTAACTGTTCTTGTCAGGCAGAAGCTAGACTTGCCATCCTTTTGGTGATCAAGATACTCACCTTTGTCTTCAGAGGCGTTAACGGATTTTTGAAGCTTCCAGTGTTTGCTATTACTTGAAACTTGCACTATATGAAACTCTTTAACGCCAGTCTCGCTCTAAGGAAGAAACAAAAATCACGTCAAATAAGACCAATCACAACTGTGATGTTCTACATCGCAGAGTAAGTGTTCCTTGCAAGGTGGCACTGTTAGAACCTTAATTTAACTCATTATTCACAGCATCCATGATGCAGTACTAAGGGGAGACAAGAAGAGACTTAAGGCCCACTGCAACATAAAACAGCAGTCCCAGCTGACAGCAACTTCCAGTTCCAGTAAACAGAGCCACACGAAGAGGAAACAAAGATCCCCCCGAAAAAACACCGGCAAGCTAGTACTTTAGATTAAAACTACTATAATAAAACATAGACTTTTAACTCCAATGCAGAACACTGTCCACAAGGCCAACTAGTTTCTAAGATTACTTTAGGAACGTTGCTAGGTCATAAATCCCTGATATTGAAGAATTTTTATTTTTATTTTTTTACATATGCGCACAAGGAAAAGTAGCTTTTGGGGCTGGTTTCCCCTCTCGGAAAGGGTGAGGTGGCAGGGGAAAACTGAGTCGCACACAATGCCATCTGTTAACTCAGTACTGTATAAAACATTCCTTCCTCCTCTAAGGAGCAAGGGACAATATTCACTTTAGTAGCTGAAGAAAAAAACATCTTTAAAACAAAATGACCAATCAGGGATTCCACCACCAGCAAAGCAGCTGGGCGTTCTATAAACAGGATTCAATTACCTTGCCTTGTGGCTGAAAAAATGGGAGCGGCTTTACCAAAAAACTGAGTAAGTTTAAACCAGCGTGGTACAAAAAACTGAAGTATTTTCATCTGCTTTGCTAAGTCAAGAGATCACAACAGACACACCTGTATTTGGGTTATATTTGCAAAAATGTCTTTTAGAGTTTGGCAATAAATTTAAACACCGAAGCTTCCTTCAAGTTGGAGCTTGTATTTTGACTTCACATCACCACTAAATTCTACCAGTGTTTTCACTGAAAGGTTGTGGAGGGCACAAGTTGTCTAATTCAGAACTACCTTGGAAGTTGTGATCATCAGGAACATTCATGAATGTTGAATAAATCTTCCCAAAAGAAAAAGACTGAACTACAGTACTGGAATTTGCTTAGGATAGAGATAGTTACAGCAGACTTCCAGAGAGTCGAGATATAACTTAATGTTAGGACTCTCTTTCCAAGGGTAACTGTAAGGGTCATATATGCACAGTTTACTTAGTGTCTGCAAAGCAGTGGTAAAAAAAAACCTTTTACTGAAGTCTTTGTTCTACTGGTGACACACACCCGCTGAGCTTTAAAACAGTATTATTTTTAATAAGAAGAACTTACGGTATTGATATTTTCTACATCCACAAACACCAAGAGATTGTCCCCTCTGCCTTCTTCATCAAGGGCGTTACTCCTGCAGACAGTAGCTCGAATGTGCAGAGAGCGGCTAGTACAAATAACTGCAGTGTGCCTTAATACTCTATGACTAGGAAAGAGGGGGGAAGAAAGAAAAAAGGACATTGTTAACAACAAGACTGCTGTTCAGAACCTGTCATCAAGAAGTTCAGGTTTTATATTTGCCATCCATATTAAGGCCATTAGACAATTTATTCCTTTCACCCACCAGACACACACTTGTCTTTTGAGCTTCCTATCAAAATTGTATTGTTTTTAACAACCGTGCTGCGTGGGCAGGTGCTGCTCAAACCAGTCTCTTAACCAGTCTGAAACGCTGGAGAAAAAGTTCATTTGTTACCATGATGAAAATACATCAGAAATATTTCAGATGTAAAACAACTGGCACAAAGCAAACAGGCATGTATTAGCACAGGGATATCATTAAGCTATTTAATGCCACCACACGCTTTGGAGAAATAGAGGTTTGAGTAAATAAACCATAAAAGGCCCGCTAGTTAGTCACATCTCATGCATAAACATTTACTGAAAAGCATTTAGGCAGAAAACCACTGCATTCAGCAAATTCCCTTGAACTGAGAATCTTAAAAAGTTTACTTCTAGAACCATCACTACTCCGCCTTTTTCCAGACATGCTCAGCCTTCAGGCTAGCAAGCCCTTTGCAAGAGTTATCTTCCTGTTTTTCTAAAGATAAGCAAACTTCCATTTGTGGACACCATCAAAACACATGAGCTTTTTCCACATAGCAGCTCTGTGGAAATATTACCAGAACTTCCACTTAGAAACATTAGGGGCACATAAAAGTTCGATATGCATTACCTACTAAATAGGCTGAAACATCAGGCAATACTTGTTTGGGGAGGGGAAACCCATCAGTGGTTTCCTAAATTCTACTTCACATAAGTTTATTCTGTACATTGTGATGTTAACAGTTTTGCAGTTTATCTTCAGACAGATATACAGATGTCTGTACGGCTTTCAAGTGGCACAAATTAAGTCATTTTTTAAAACCTGAAATCTATGCTCAGTCTACAAAGGAGTACTGTGAAACAGCATCACATCGCGTAAGCTCCCCTTGAAACTTCACAGCAGGGAACAAATACATTTCCCAAACAACCATCTTCCATCTCAAACACCTTACTTTGTGAAGACTGGGAGCTCAGAGGAGAAGAGTTCTGTTCTTAAAAAGGAAGAAAAAGATAACTGCATTGTAGGGGGACAAATTCCCTAGTCCTACAGACCAGCTTCAAGCCAAAGGAAGAGTTAACTGTGGCATTTCAGAAGCTACAGAAAAATCCAAACAAAGGCTGCATTTGCACAACTTTTAGCTCGGTTTCAAGGACATGCTGCTGATCCACTCTCTTGACCATCTTCAGCTCACTCTGCTTCGGTTTACGTTACGGAGCAGTCTCACAGCACGTGAGCTCGGCTTCTCTCTCAGAACAAGCCTGGAAAACAAGCTCCAGCCCCAGGCAGACATTCAGTTCAGGTGACTAGACCTCCTCTGAAGCAGCCCTGCTCCCCACCATCATCCTGAATACGTACAGTACAGAGACCAGGCGTGCCTGTTTCGGCTGCAGTAAAGTTAATTTTCTTCACAGCACCTAGTACAGGGTTATGTTTGGGATTTGGGCTGGAAACAGCGTTGATAACCCAGGGATGGTTTTGTTCCTGCTG